AATTTAATTATATTTTTAATAAGTTTTTTANCATATATTAAAATATTTATGATATATTCATATATATTTATATATATATATTAGTTAATATTTTTATTAAATTATTTTTATAGATTTAATAGTATTAATTAAATATCTATTATATCAATAAAAATTATTTTTGTTTAGAGAAATTTATAAGAGATTTTTTATTTTAAAATTTTAATTAATAAATTTTTAAAACATGAAAAAAAGTTAATAATATTAATATTTTGAATGATGTATTTATAAAAAATTTTATATTTGATATTGGGTAAAGCAAATAAAATTATTTTTTATAAAAAATAAAAACATAATTAATATAAAAAAAAATAGAAAGAAAGAAATAAAGTAATATAAAATCTACATTAATATTATATATAACTAAATATAATATAATATATCATTCTAATAATTCATATTGTCTCATTAAAGACAATATTTAAGCTTTACTAGTTTCTACAAGTTCTCCTCCAATGATCATTTCATCAATAATACCATAAACCTTTTTAAATAATAAAGAAAAAAATATATTTTTAATATTATTATATATAATATATATTTATTATTTTATTTATTAACTTTATGGAAATTATAAACAATATCTAATTCACGGACACTGCTAAAAAATTAGTCTAATACTTCAACAAAAAAATGAATCATTTCTAAATAAGTTAATTCATTATCATTGACATCAACGCATATTGAAAAAAATAATCCGGCATATCTTTTGTAAATGACTTTATAATTCCTAAACTTTATTTTTAATTTTTTTATTAAGTAAATATATAAAAATAAATCAAACTTCTAAAAAATTAGTTTGCTTTCTATCTCTATATACTATTATTCTATTTATTTCACTTTAAAGCTTGACTTTTTCTTATTCATCATAATCTACATACCATTTAGCTAATCTAGTTTTACCTTATCTGTTTTGTAATAATATGAATCTTATCTTTTTATTTTTATATTTGCTTCTAATTTAATTTATTATTATATATTTTTACCATTTTTTATATTTTGTAAGTTTTTTTTTATTATAATTCCTTTATAAAATAATTTTTATTTGATTATAAGTAAAAAATAGATAAAATAAAAAATATTTTATTTTTATAAATAATAATTAATATATACAGAAAAAAATATATATAATAATAAAAAATGTATATATATATATATATTTATATATTTATATATTTATATATTTATATATTTATATAAATATTTCTTAATATATTTTAATTATCAAATTATTATAAATTTTAAATAAATTCTGAATAATTTTATTATTAAAAGAATTATATTTATTATATATATTTTCTCATTAAAGTTATATATTTATATTGAAAAAAAATTATATTTTTTAATTTATTTGTTTATATTTTTAAATATATATATATATTTTTTTCTATAATTATATTTTTCATAATGTTTTTATTTTTACTTATATTTCTTTTAAATAAAAAATTCTAAACCTTTTTTTTAAATTAAATATTAAAAAATTTAATACAATATAATCATTTAAATATTTATTAATAATAAATTTTTATTTTTATTCTTATTCTATTTTATTTTTCATTTCTTATTTTTAAATTTTTCAATTAAATTATTAATTTTTTATTTATATTCATCATCAACAACATTAATGCAATCTTAAATACTATCATATTATAAATCATAAGTATTTAAGCTTTTTAATATATGTGAACTAAATATATTAATGAAGAAATCTAATTGTACATAAAGTTTAATAATATCATAAAGTTTTTATTAATGTTCTTTCTTAACTTTAACATTTTAGTTTTATATTTATTAAAAATTTTAACGAAGTTCCTATAATTTAATCAAACAGCTTTTTTAAACCGATTCAAGGCAAACACAATAATCATATAAAGGTTATTTTAATTATTTTAAAGGTAAAAAGAACATATTTTTGAATTTTTAAAGAAATAAATATTCATAATGATTAATAAAATTATCAATAAGTTATTAATTATTTTAAAAATATAAAGGATTTTAATAATGTAAAATTATGAATAATTTTTTAAAATTATTAATTTTATCAAGTTTAAAATTTGTTTTTATTAAAAAATTTTCTAAAATTTACTAGAATTTTAAAAAATCTTTACTTTTGAAAATACAGGAAATTTACATGGCTGTAAATATTTACATACTATAATAAGTTAGAAAATTATAATTATCTTTATATTAATTATAATCAAAATAATTGATAAAATTGTCTATTCTTTAAATTGTTTCTTCTAATGAGCCTAGTTTTGTAAATAAAGATATATTTTAATCAAAACAATTAACAAGAAATTCGAAAGCTTCATTTTTTGTTTTCAATGCTAATTCTATTTATATATCACTTAAATACAAAATAAAATCAGACTTCTAAACTAAGTTTAATGATATAAATACTTCCAATATCTTTTTATTATATAAATAATTTATTATGTCTTAATTATTTTCAATTCCTTATACTTAAACATAGAAAAAAATATCCTGTTCATATATTATATTTTTATCATATAATTCTTATATTTTTTTTAATAGTTCGTTACATCTTTCGATATTTCCTTAATTATAATATATGTCAAATAAACTTAGTTTAGCCATTATTATTTTTCCTTTAATAATAAGCTATTATTCTTTATTTAAATTCTATAATTATATTTCTTTTACTTTTTGTATATATAATTTTAAAAATTATTATATATACTCATCTTTTCTTGTTTCATCTTTTATTATGCATTAATTTAGTATTTTACTTCCATATTCAATAAATTGTTGTGCGCTATTTATATCTATTAATTATTTTGATAAAACATTTAAGTAATTCAACAATATTTCATTATCAATTTTATTTATAAATTAGATGCTATTAGAATTTAATTATAAAAGTAAAGGAAAATTGATATTATGAAACTAATAATTATAAATATTAGAAAAATTTTTTATTAATGGGTTTATATTAAGACATTTTAAAAAGATTTTTGATATCATATATTTATTATGAGGAATAGATATATATATATTAAAAAAATATATAAATATAAAATTTTAATTTAATATTATTAAATTATACTAAATGCAATTATAGATTATATTTTTAATATAAAATATTATTATAAAATATATTTAAATTTTAAGCGTAAAATAATTATTAATTAAAAAAAAGTTTAAGCAAATATAAAGTTTATTATAAAAATCTAATTTTTACATATATAAGAGTAAAAATATTATAATAAATTTAAAATATTAAAAGTTATTATTATTTAAAAATATTATTAATATTAATATACAATAATATATATAAAATAATTAATAGTATATTAAAATAAATTAAATAAAATAACTTATATTATATTTAAAAATATAAAACATATATAATAATATATATTTTTTATATATATAAAATATTAAAATCATTTAAATAATAAAAATTTAAATATATATTGATAATTTATTTAAAACATAATTATAGAATATTTTATAAATAATTTATATTTATATAAATTTAATATGTTAAATAAATAATTATTTTTAAATATGAATAAATAGATTATTCTTAAGTTATCAATTTTATAAATTTATTATATATATATATAT